TCACCCCCCTCAGGGCTGCGGGCCTGGTGATCGCGCAGTCCCCCGTGAGGGGGCAGCTGGCGTTTTTCTGTGCGGTGTTCTGCCTCCCTGATAGAACTGAGGCTTTGAAGCTTCGTGGCTGCTGCTTCCCGTTGTTTTGCCTAAAATCTGAAGAAAAGCAAAACATTGGCTCTTCAATACATGCAAAGAATAAACTTCTGTGCATATTCCACTCGTCACTAAAGCATAAGTAGTCAGTGCTGCCTTTTACTGCTCTGCCTCATCTGACGTGGTGAGTGTCAGGTGCCCCAGCTGTGAGACAGAGTAATACTGATGTATTGTGAGGTAAAGCTGTAATGCACTGTGTAACCGCTAATTGTTACTTCTTTTTACTGTTCTCTTCTGGTGCAGACACCAATGACATGTAAAAAAAAAAAAAAAAAAGATGTGACGGTTGTAAATCCTTCCATCAGAATGGCCCTGATACTCTGGGAAGTGCGGAAACGCGGCGGGCGAGTCCTGCGGGGGCCGCGCAGAGCAGAACGCGTGGTGTACAAGCACAAAGGCTGTCAGGTGTGTGGCATCTGCCAGCTTCCCTGCGTTTATTTATTCATGCTCAGCAGCAGCATCTGCTTTCAGCTGGATGCAAACTTTTGGTTTCACTACAGTTTACATGCACAGGTGACATCAGGAGGTTTTCAGTAAGAGTGTAGTATTAATGCATTTGACGTCACAGAGGAATTTATTACTAAGCAACTTTTTAATTGTCAAAAATCTCTTTCTTCCCAGGATTTTTTTTTCCTATTCATGGGGAAAATAAAGTCCGGACTTCAAGACCAGCCACCGCCACTCAGGATAAGCTCATTCCTTTTGGCACGACCGATGCTTAGCAAATAAAATCTCTTTCTTCCCAGGATTTTTTTTTCCTATTCATGGGAAAAAAAAAAAAAGGTATTGTGAATCGCATAGATGTGGAGCAGAGTAGTGATAAAATGCTATTTGCATGATTCAGACAGAATTCTTGTTGACATCAGTGAAAGTAAGAGAGTAGAATTTGGCCCTAGAGATACTGTTTTGCGTAATGTTCATTTCAGGTGTTTTTTTTCTCAAGGCCACAGCTTAGTTACATGAAGTGGTTTTGCCTGCAAGTTTAGCACCTTGCTCCGTGTTCTGTCTAGATCTAAAAGGAGCAGGATGTGCTTTGTTCACTGAACGGATGGGAGAGTTTCTGTGAAACTGCAGGTACTGAAGGAAATGGAGTAGGTGATGGTGCTGAGTGAAAAGTAAATAATTGTTGTCATTTAATATTAGACTTTCATACCCTTTCACATGTCCACATTAAAAAAAATTAATATTTTCCTGAGGTGAGACCAAAAAATCGCTAGAGCCATGAATCTTCTTGTTTTTATTAAAGACAAGCTGTTAGCCTGTCCCTCACAAGCAATCTGCAGGAGCTGGGAGTACTATGGAATTGTGAAAAATATGACTGGGACTGTAAGGACACTTTCATGCAAAGAAGCTCCTTTCCTTCACAGTCCTTTGTCACTCATGCTGTTTGTCCCTCTAGTTTCATTATTTTACTCCCTTTTTTTCCATGCAGGGGCAGGGGAAAAGGGTGTACGTGGACTGTTAACTAGAATTTGTTTTATTAACTACCTAAGGTCCTGGCACTGAGCACAGGAAGAAGCGAGTGTGCGTTGCTGGCTCAGGTGGGCTTTGCTGTGGACAGAATCAGGGAGAACCCCGGCTGAGGTAGTTTAGCTGAAACTTCAGAATGACATGAATCGCGATTGCCACTTAATTGTTATCACTGAATAGGTACATGGTAATGAGGTTTAGAAATGTGTTAGCTGTGCACGCATAAAGAGTTCCAATCCCATGCTTCATATAGCCTAACTTCTTATATGCATGCTGGAAGCGAACGCTTGCCACTTGGGCACATGTGCTTCTGCAAGTGAGAGTCCCTGTTTTGAAGTACGTATACATTATATTTTTTTTTAATTCATTTTGGCTCAGGACATGATTACAGTTATTTTGTTACAAACTCTCATGTATGTAATTTTCTTCTAGTGAGATTACTGTGTTTAAATTATAGTCCTGTTACAAGCTTCTCCTGCAAAACATATCTTGTGATGCAGTGCAGACGGTATCTCCTGAGAACAGCCTCCCAGAAAGTATGCATGTTTGTAGAACTGAATGAAATAATGGTGGAGGAATTATGGCCATGGATAATACGGAGGTCGCTAACTGTGGTATAAGCTGCTTCTTGCAGATTTATACTTTAGGTAAAATACTGTTTGAACGCTGAGAAGATACCAGCTTTCATGGAAGACCTGTAGAATGTGCAGGCTACATCTGATGTTGATGACTTAGTGCCACTTTGCTGAACTGCGTGACTTCGTTGCAGTTCACTAGACAGTAAAATGAGACCCAAATCCCAGGCAGTGGGCTGCGTAATTGTGATCTGCTAGTGAAGTGCTCTTTGGCTAAAAACCTATTTGGATTTGCTTAGGTTATTAGAATTTACTTGCAGCTTAGGTTGAGCTTTCATTAATTAGTTCTCTCTGGACTAGGCATCTCAACATTGCTTTAGGGTATCGACTGTTTCAGCTTTGCCTGACAAATTCACACTCGTCTGTAGCAGTGTGCAGTCTGATACAGGCCAGTGGGTTGAAGGGAAGGCAAGGCACTGCAGCTACACAACTGCTTCCTTCCTGCGTGACATGGAAAGGGCATTCTGTGAACAGCCTAGCTCGCCGTGCCTAGGGGTACAGCCTGCTAAGGCACCGAATGCTTCCTGGCAAACACTGTCTGTTTCTTGAGGGACCAGCTCCAGCTGCACCTGTGGTTATCTGGACAGGGCATCTGGCTTTGCAGGAGGCCTTGAAATGGCTCCAAGGTGGGAAGAGTAAAGATACTTGTAAAATTAGTACATGGTTTACACAGTGCTGATGTCGTAATAATGCTACTCAGTGAGGACTAAACTTTGTTTTAGCTGTAACGCTAAAAGCCACTATAGTTACACCAGTGTTGATAATGGGATAATTTGAACCAGAATGAGAATAAAAGTATTATTCAAACAACTTTGGAAATGTTGGAGGAAAGGAAAAAGGTGGGGAGGAAGAAGTCTGCTGAAGGAGGCTTTGCTGTGGCAGAACTTGTGAGGGAGAAAGGAAGTCCCTTACAGAAGGGTGACTGAAAACAACGATTTTTGTTTGAGTTTAATCCTCGCATGCTGATGTGAGTGCACATGAGGTCTCTGCCCACCTATACATGCTGGGTCTGTTGAAGGGTCGGAGACCCCCAGGATTGTTTGTATAGTGGATTGCTTTGTTGAACAGTGTCCATGAAATTCTAAAGGTTTTGTTAGCGTTGGGTATGTCAGTTCTTGGTCAAAATGTTACCTGATGTACAATACCTGATTGTTATCTAAATCAGTGGAATGTGATTCCCCCTTACTGTCCGTTTCTGAAAACCTAGAACTTTGTGCAATGAATTTGCTTTGGATTTGGTGTTTGAGAGAAGGAGCATACAGTTTGACTTGCAGAAGCTGTGCCCACACTCTGTATGTTACATGACAGAAAAAAAATGTTGTTGCATGTCTTCTATTTGGATTGTTTGCCTTGCACCATGCCCATGCTCACGTGCTAAGCAGCTGTGAAAGATATTCTTCCCCTTTGCCTTTTTTTCGATGAAAATACATTATGCACTTGAGTTATGAATAAAAGATCAAGGGCAAATCTGTATAATGCTTTACCACGTACTTGTTACTAATCTGTATAATGCTTTACCACGTACTTGTACGTGGTAAAGTAGGGTACGTGGTACCCTACTTTAGGGCACTTGCGCTCTTTTGCTAGCAGATCCTTTTCTTAGGGAGATTCTGCCATTTAGTGTTTCTTCATGCTTTTGCTTCAAAGTCAAAGATTTGTTAGGGCTTCTTATTCACACATACTGCTGGATACTGCTCCAGAGCTGGAGTACTGCATCCAGCCCTTGAGCCGTCAGCACAGGAAAGACATAGACCTATTAGAGCGGGGCCAGAGGAGGCTATGAAGATGCTATGAGGGCTGGAGCCCCTCTGCTGGGAGGACAGGCTGAGAGAGCAGGGGGAGTTCAGCCTGGAGAGGAGAAGGCTCCGGGGAGACCTTATTGCAGCCTTGCAGTGCTTACAGGGGGCCTACAGGAAAGATGGAGAAAAATTGTCTAGCAGGGCCTGTTGCGATAGGACGAGGGTAATGGTTTTAAACTAAAAGAGCGTAGATTCCAACTAGATATACGGGAGAAATATTTTACAATAAGGGTGGTGAGACAGTGGCCCAGGTTGCCCAGAGAGGTGGTGGATGCCCATCCCTGGAAACATTCCAGGCCAGGTTGGATGGGGCTCTGAGCAACCTGATCCAGTTGTAGACGTCCCTGCATATAGCAAGGGGGTTGGACAAGATGGCCTTTGAAAGTCCCTTCCAAGCAAATTATTCTGATTCTATGTTTCTATGATTCTATGATTTCAGCAGATGAGATTTTCACTGTATGTAATTCACACTGCTGGATCAGTGGATAATGTATTATTTTAGCTCAGTATCATACTATTACTTGCCTGGCACACTTCGTGGGAACTCAGTTTCTAGAGCTACCTGAATGATGTGAAGACCAGTCCACTCTAGGAGTGATATACACCTTTTAGAAAAGTGTCTGGGTTAAGGGGCTGTAACTCTGCAAGGGCCTAGAATTTAATTCCTACCAGGGCTGTGTTACCATTCTTTGCTTTTGATCGGAAGTCTTGTCTGGAAGTGCTAGCATCTGTCTACAGGACATGGCGTCTGGTTCTCAGTGAAACCAGGGGCCCCACTATGTTGAGCCAGAATCGGGCCCAACACATCTGCTGGGGCCAGACATTTCTGTTTTAGTGTGCCATGCCACCCTGCTCAGAAACTACACTCCTCTCTGGCTTGATGGAGTGTTGCCCTGGCAAAATGTTGCACTAGCTTGATATTTAGATATGAGACTGCTGAGGACCACTGAATGTTACAGGGTATGTGGCTGAAGGATCCTTAGGTGGCACCTTGAAGTCATTTCTGAATCAAAGCGCAAGCCTAGAACTGCAAGTACTGGGGTTTTTCTTCCTTTTTTTATTTTAACTATTGTTTGCGAAAATCACCCAGAGTGATGAAAGTTCCTGTGTGGCTTTTTAGCTGAAATCTTCTGTCCAAAATCCAACCCAGATATTTTTTTCTTCCCAGAATTAATCCTGCAATTTCTGCTGGAAATTATCGCTACTTCTCTGAGTGCCTTGAAGTTCTGCATGGTGTTGCTAAATGCTGATAAACAGCTTCTGCATTTCTCATTATGCGTGGGTGACTTGATTCGTATTTATAGCTTGTGTATTCCCACTGCAGGATGTAAGGTGATATGTATACATACCACTGCTACTACAGACCCAACTGAATACTACCCTTTCTTTCTAACGTTCATTGCTGCTTTTAAGACACCTACCTTTTTTCAGTGCCCACAGAATTTGATGAAGTCAGTTGTCCCATGATTTCCTGAAAGCTTTTTTTAGCACTTTGTCATAAGGAATGACCTCAAACCTGTGAATGATGTCACATCATTAATGTATTGGGTTTAAGCATAGCTGTGCTGTGACTTTTGGAACATACACTTAAAGCTCGGGCTGTATTTTCCCCTAGCTATATTGAAGGTTATGTAGGCATCTGTTAAAAGTGGAACATGCTTCCTCCTCCTCCCTTTGATAGATGCTGCTTCTCTTTTCCATCAGAGAGCTGTAGCTGAGCTGCTCTTCAAATGAGCTGCATTGGTTCTGCAGCTGAATAGGTAAGAACCTTAGTGTGGTCCTGACACATATTTTACATTTAGGTCACCAGTGTATTTGGCCCAGATTTTAAAGTTTCACTCTTCTCAGGCTGCATTTTGATGGATTTGGCCAATGCTTTGTATTTAGCAGGGAAGCATTATGTGATGCTTTTACTACTGAAGTCATTTCATCAAAGGAAATTATAATATGTTACAGTAAAATGACTGGAACATCCGATGTAAAGAAATAAAAGCAGCAGTTGAATTTTTTTCATTTATTATTTGAAAAGTGCAGATGCATTTCTGAAGCTGTTGTGATTAAAATGCTAAGGTTTTTGTTCTTTTCAAAAGGCAATTCTGATTATAATTTTTCAAAAATACTTAGAGCTTAAACATCTCTCTATTCGCTAATCACATGGTATCCATGTCAGACTGCTTCACAGAAGCTTGTCAGGAATCACAATTGTTTGTAAGATTCTTATAATCACGTTGTTCCCTAAGCGCCTGCACATCAGACTTACTTTGTTGTCTCCACTCGGCCCCCAAAACTTCTACCCAGGTGATCTTTATCCCTCTGCCTTGGTGGTTTGGATCCTAATCATACTGTGTGATCACAAATAGCTTCAGTGCTTGTTTGAACAAGATCGATTTTTACTGTGCAGAGTGAATTGATTCTTCAAGCCCTGCCAATATGACATCACTGGCTTTATGAAAATTGATTTTAAAATTATTACAGTGTACTAACTAACATTAATAACTGAAGTATTTGAAAACGCTGATGCAATACTCCTTGCTTTGAACAGGAGCAGCACTAATGAGCTTAAATCCCAAAGGAAGCTATCATTTCTTCTGACTGGTCATTTAGATGTTAAAGACCATATGCATTGACTGTACCAGACTTAAAAAAGTAATGAAGACATCCAAGTTAGCATGTTCTCACATCACACCTTTCAATCCTCCTTGTCAGGGTTATGGGACACTTGAGGAGTGTTTCTTCTGTGGTCTACTGGAACTGCAAGTGCAGATGCACAGTACTTGTCTTTTCGTTTTCTGAGGTGAAACGAGCAGCCTCTGTAGTAGTACCAGACTCTGCCGATTTGAAAATTAGAAATCAGATCCAGCAGTAAGAGGCAGAACCTTGGCTTGGGAGCCCAGCAGTTGCTTCAGAATTAATGAATTGATTAAGGTAAAAATCAAGGGTTTGATTAACTGTTCAACTCTCAGGTCTGAATTTGAAAAGTCTGTAAGTATACAAATTAATGATTTTCTGCCTTAGCCTTGAAAATTGTGTTTTTTATGTTAGCGTGTTATGTTAATGATTTTTTTTTTTTTAATTACGGCCGTTTTTTCAGAAGAATCTCGCTGAAGTATCTGCAACTTAAGAGCAGTCAGCAAAAAAATTCTGCACATGGGAACTTCCTCACACAAAGATTTCACTCCAAAGCTTCCCCTCCAGGTTTTGGTTCATGTTTGAGTAAAAGCATTTATTTTACCATATGTATGGCTTTATTTTACCATATGTTTATCATTTTGAGTAACCTATTTTTGCCCAGAACTGGTGTGTGCTAGGCACAAAGCTCACATTCCCTGTTACAGTTGCATGACCAGCTGTGAAATCGCTGGTGGGTGCAATTGTGGTCACAATTTGGTGAGCTATTTAAGCAGCTTAATTTCAGCAGATGTTTTGTGCAGTGCCTGTTTGACCTGAGGCATGTGCTTAACGTCCCGCTGAGCAGAGTGGCTGGGGGTGTCCAATTTACCCACCCGGACCCCACATCCAGCAACGGCAGCAGGCTTCACCGCAAATCCCCCGTTCCCCGGTGCTGCTCGGCTCTCCTTTTCCCGCAGCGCTTGACCCGGTAAGAGCAGCGGGGAGGATCTTGCGCGATCACCGCCGCGGACGCGAGGTGGCAGTGCCGGCGCGGAGCCGCGGCTGCTGCTCCC